AGGTTAGTGTTCTTCTACTGAGCCACACATGTTAGGTAAGTGTTCTTCTACTGAGCCACACATGTTAGGTTAGTGTTCTTCTACTGAGCCACACTTCTGAGCTTCTACATTTAGTCACTTGAATTAGCTCTCTACCATAGTCACCTTACATTTATAAATTCTACTAAAAGGGCAGGAAAGCAGTGAGCACAGAGTAGAAACAAACAAATACAATTACAAAAACCACCCCAAACCACCGGAACAAGTGGTGGTGGTACACACCTTTAATCCCAACACTCAGGAGGCAAAGGCAGATCTCTGTGAGTTCGAAGTCTAGTGTACAGAGTGAGTTCCACAGATAAACCCTGTCTCAGAAAGCCAATGAAAAAGAGAGAAAGAAAGAAAAAAAGCACCCAAACAAACAACAAGAAAAGAGCCATCAAAGGACCTAAACACACCCAGACCGGGCAGATAACTCAGCCAATGTATTTGTTTGGTTTCTATGGCTGTGATTAAAACACTGACGGAAAGCAACCTGGGGAGGGGGGGTTTATTTGGTGTACAGGAGTCTGCTCGAGAGAGGCTAAGGCGGGAACTCAACACAGCAACCAGGAGGCAGTGCCTGAATCAGGGAACAGGGCAGAAAGCTGCTCACTGGCTTGCTTCCTTGGCTTACTCAGCTTCCTTTCTTATCCAGCCCAGGAGCACCTGCCTAGGGATGACACTGCCCACAATGGGCTGGTCAATTACCAGTTAAGAAAAAGCATCACAGACATGCATAGGCCAACCCTATGGAGGAATTCCTCTATTGTAGTTCCCTCTTCCTAGGTGACTCTACTTTGTGTTAAGTTGACAAAAAATTGCCACCAAGGTGGGTAAAGGCAGTTGCTGTCATGCTGCAATCCACAAAAATATACAAAGCAGGAATTCAGCTGACTATGACAAAGCTAATACCTGGAAGTAGCCAAGGGCCTTCCAGAGGTCAAGCTAAGACTCAAGGAGCCTTGGTGATATTGGCTTTTGATTATTAGCTGTTTCCTGCTATGAGTCTCTTGTGTGCTATTGTAGCTTTTCCATCATTTATTGGGCACCTTATCCCCTCTACTAAAGGAATATTGAGATAACCTTGTGTGCTGACAGCTATGCACAGCCCCAACCCCAGTTCAAGCCTCCCTGTAATTATTGTCATTGGCAGCATCAGGCCAGGTCCATTCCCAGATGGAGGAAAGTACCTTATCAGAGATACCTCTGTACTCTCTAAGAACAGAGTTAAGCATCCAGGCTACCTGTTTGAGAAGGCCTGGCGGATGTGCCAATTAAGCTTAACTTCCTCCTTTCCCAAATCTTACCTCTAGTTCCAGATCTCCCTTTAACTATCACCAGAGGCGCCAGGCAGTGGTGGCGCATGCCTTTAATCCCAGCACTCGGGAAGCAGAGGCAGGTGGATCTCTGTGAGTTCGAGGCCAGGCTGGACTACAGAGTGAGATCCAGGAAAGGCACAAAGATACACAGAGAAACCCTGTCTCGAAAAAAACAAAAAACAAAAAACAAACAAAAACTATCACCAGAGGCATCTAGCTGTACACAGGTTGCCTAGCGACCGAGCACACTTTCTCCTACCCTGCAGATAAACGGCAGATAGCTTGGACAGATAGGAGCCACAGGAAAGAAGAAGGCAGTTTTATTTTCTCCCATTGACCTAGCAACTTATAGATTCTTAACATTTTTCTACCAATCACGTTTAAGACTATAGTTGAGCACATAAGATCCCTCTTCTTAGATATTACCCAAATTTAGCCTTTAGTTAATTCATTTCCCCATTGTTCACTTCCCTTTGGGGTTGCAAATGATAATTAACGGTTATTGCCCTTCTGTGTGATTTTTATCACCCCTCTGTTTGACCCTGGAAGCCTGGCTTTGCACTGCCAAGGAATTACTCCTTGTAAGTGGAAGAACTAGACGGGTAAAAACTTGAGAGGAGCAAACTGAGATGGGGAAGAACTAGATTGAAGGGCTAAAAGAGAGGACTAGAGGAACGGGATGGAAGATGAGGAAGAGCCAGATGGGGAAGAACAAGAGGAGGAAGAACCAGATGAGAGAGAAAGAGATGGGAGAGGAGATGATATGGGAAGGAACAAGATGGATGAGAACCTAGAAGGGACAGAACTAGATGAAGGAATTAAGATAGAACCTGGGGACAACTGATAAATGTAAAGAGAAATTGGGCAAGAAAGGAGCTAAATATGAGAGCAGAGTATAAGCTTATAGAGAGAAAACTGACAGAATAATAAAGTGTATGGACTAAGGAATTTCATGTACATAGATTCATTTCCTTTCTTCAAAGATTAATTATCAGCTGGTTGTAGATTCTTCCTGGACCCTGGGAGGGGACCATCGAGAAACTGGACCCCCATAGTCCCTGATACTGCCAAGCCTGACGAAGTGAGTTTGAGCCTTGGTGAAAGGTGAGACCTGAGCCAGGCGGTGGTGGTGCACACCTTTAATTCCAGCACTTGGGAGGCAGAGGCAGGTGGATCTCTGTGAGTTTGAGGCCAGCCTGGTCTACAGCCAGGTCTACAGCTTCACAGAGAAACCCTGTCTTGAAAAACCAAAAAAAAAAAAAAAAGTGAGACTGATACAAGTTGCCTTCTGACTTTCACATGAGCACACCATTTGTACATTCAAGTGCACACACACTCAATAAATACATATAATATAAACAATTTCAAAGACGATCTTTGTGAGTTTCATAGGGGTAGTGGGAGAAATCTTTGCAGTTGATAGTAGTAACTGGAGTGTAGCTGTTCGTGAAGGCAGACTAGGAGGACCAAAGAGCAAATGGGAGGACATGTACAGCCGTTGTCACCAACGAGGACCGTGAGGAGAAGGGGGGCCAGGGAAAGTTTATTAAGGGCAAGAGGGAAAGAGTGGTACATGGGGGCTATAGTGAGCAGTGCCTGGAGGGGGTGATGCAGGCAGGCGGGAGGGTGGCAAATGGCACCTAGTTTTTTCAGCATTTATAGTGACCGAGGGGGACATGGACAAGGAGGGTGAAGGGAGCAGCTTGTCTCAGTGGCCAGCGCCTTGTAGCTCTTAGGTAGGGTGGCTTTGGCCTTGACCAAGGTGACTTTTTTTTGAGATTGGTTCTTTTTGTATGGTGTACATGGGTTCACATGTTCCGTCGTGCACGTGGAGGCCAGAGGTCCATGTCTGTCTGGTGTTTTTATCATGTCTTTGCTCTGTCTCACTAATCCTAGACCTAAGTCAGCTGGGTGGGCTGGCTAATGAGGTCCAAGAGCTCCTCTGTCTCCACTTCCCCAGCCCTGGGTTTACGGGTGCGCACTGTCACTGTCCGTTTTTCACATTCATACAGATAAGCAGCCCGAGTTCGAAGAGGGAAAGATAGGGGATAGTCCACTCTGTTAAGGTCTCTGAACTTTGTACATTGTGTGGCTACACACATCCATACAGAGACAGAGGGACACAGGCACCGAGAAAGACGAGAGAAATGAATCACTAGTATCTGTCCACAGAGACTGGGAAGGTGGCTCAGAAGGTAAGAGCACTTGCTGCTCCTGTAAAGGACCCAGGTTCAATTTCCAACACCCACATGAAGGCTGACAACTATCTGTAACTCCAGTTCCAGAAGATTCAACAGCCTCTTCTGACCTTCTCCGGCACATGTGATGCACAGACATACATGCGGTCAACACACTCACACACATTAAGAAAAAATTCATCCGCAAACAAACCTCAGGAAAACCTCGTAAACCACCACTTGGTGGCGCTGACATAACAGGCATGTCATTTTAGACAGACCTCGTTTCCCTCCTGTGTGGGAAGCAGCTCAGGTCTGTCTGGTTGAGATCTCAAACCACCTATAAATTGATTTATAAGTTTTCCTTCAATTTCAGCCTTTGGGTGAGACATATCTAAAACCTGTTAACCGAGTTAAAAAAACAACAAAGTTGACACCAACTCGTGTTAACTATTATTTATTGGTATGACGGTATAAATTCCTGTAGATACACAAGGGATATGAAGGAGGGGGACCTGGGTGGATGAGAGTTTTGTTCTTTCATATTTTGTCTGGAATTTGGCCTTTTATTTATTTATTTATTGTCTGTGGTACTGGGGTCCGACCCAGGGTCTCCTGATGTTTAAGTAAGCACTCAACCCCGAGGCAATATATATAAACCCTCAGTAGCCTGGCGCCATGGCCTTGTCAGTAATCCAGCTACATCAAAGTGGAGGCAGAAGCGTCAAGTTCAAAGTCAGCCGGGGCATCATAGCAAAGCTGCTTATTTTAAAAATACAGAAAGGAGGTCCGGGGAGATGACTCAGCAGCCTGAAGGTGTGCGTCTGCGCCCCTCGGCCTATGGCGATGAGACCGGGATCAGTGCGAAGGCCGTGCGCACGTGCCAGTCTGTCCGTCCAGGTTCCCTCAACGGACCGACCGGAGCAACGAGGCGCATGCGCACGCGGTCGACCTGGCGCAAACAGAAGAGCCCACCCCGGCTCCATTGAGTCACATGATAACGGTCGCTTGGAAAAACCGCCATTGGAAAAAAACAAAACATATGAGTCTCATCAGGTGATGCAGGTCTACCAATAGGGAAAATGAGACAAGAAACAACAACAACAACAAAAAAAGCCCCTGTCACATGCCGAAAGCGGGGCCAGCCCCTGTCATGTGACTCAGCAAACCCGTGAGAAGAGAGGCCGGGCACTGACGCCACACAGCCAGGCGCCGCCCCCGTGTCAATGTCACGTGACGCGGCCCCGCCCCCTCGAGCACATTTCGTCCCGCCCGCCCACTGGGGGCCGGGCCTAGGTCGGTCGCCCACGTGACGCGGGGGCGGGGCCCGGGCAGTCACGTGGCCCCGCACCTCCCCGGCGCGCGCCCGCCCGCCGCTCGCCCCCGGCCGCCGGCTCCTCCTCCTCTTCTCGCCATTGCAGTTGGGACTGGAGCAGCCCCGGCGAGAACCGCGTGGCCTTTTTTTTTTTTTTTTTTTTTTTTTGAGGGGGGTTGTGAAGACTCCGGAAGGCTGGTGGCAGGAGGGCGGCGGCGGCTGAGGTCGAGGGGCCGGAACGCCAACAAGGTAAGCGGCAATGTGGCGTCTCCCGCCTCCTCCCCTCCCCCCGTCTGTTCTCCCACTTGTCAGCGCAGGCTGGGCTGAGGGACGCTAGTGACAGGGCAGCTGCCACCCTGCCGACCCTCTCCTCCGCTCGGATCTCCCACTCCTCGGCGTCTCGCTCCTTCCTCCTCCTCCGGCCTCGCTCCCGCGCTTGGCCGTTATTCTCCCCCATTGTGCCGAGGAAACAAAATGGCGGCGGCAGTGCCCCTGTGCGCGCGCATCCACTCTCCCCCTTCGTGGCCCCCTCGGCCAGGGCCTAGGCGCCGCTTTCGGGGGGGTGCGCACGCACTGCGATGTCCCCCCCCGCCCCGGGCCGCTTACTTTCCCCTAGGCCGGGCTTTTGTCTGTTGCTTCGGCCCTGCGCACGCGCGCACGTGTTGGAGCACACACCCCCTCACATCCCGGGCTTCCCGGCGGGCGCAGAAGGGTTGATCCCCTTCCTTTACCCGCTTTCTCTCTTTGTTAAGCTACATCCCTGGCTTCCAGGAGCATGACAGGTTCATCCCAGTTCCCAAGGCGGGAAACATCTCTCCTTTGTCTTGAGCTCGGTCCTCTCCCTAGACGATCGTTGCGGGAAGCATTTTTGGATTCATTGGGTCCTTAAAGCCCGGATCTGTAAGTTTCCTCCAGCTCGAGACCCAAACTTAATACCGTTTGAGTTTCTCGTCCTTTTAGACCGGGTGGTTTTCATTGATGGTGTTTCTCGGGTTGTTCAGGTTCTGCCTCCAGTCCCCCAAACGGTGATGTGGTTGGTGTTGGGGACTCTGATCTTCAGGATTGGCATGCTTGAAGTCTTTCGAACGTGCGTGCTTTAAATTTTCTTTATTAAAGTAGTTAAGTGATGAGAATTCACCTTAGGTTATTCCACAGTTCGGATAAGCCATTTGGAGTTTATAACGGTCTATTTGATTTCCCCCATTACGAATCCAAACTGGGGAAGAGTAAGCCATCTCTTAGTAAAATTGCTGGTAAGTTGCTGCTTAGGACACGTGGTGGATCAGCAAAGAGGCCTTAGTTTCTGTCCGTGATATGCTTCGCTGTTGGGATTCGAGTATTCTGAGTGTATCTTTCTGGTTCAAAGTTGTGTTGTATTTAAAGTGTTCCGTATGATGATGTGTCTTCAGAAAAAGGAGAGGTGTTATTCAAAGTTAGGATTCATGTTTAGGACTCTTCCCCAGCGTCTTTCCCTCAGGTTTTTGTGGATGGGACTTTGTGGATTGACCAGAGTTGTACCACACTGTTCTTTGAGTGTGGCCTCCGGGGGTAGCTGCTGCAGTCACTCAGCCTGAGAATGAAGTGTGGGGAACCACAGCCTCAAAGGAGAAAAGGCCACTGGTAGATGCTACTACTCTTGTCCAGTAGAGCTGAGGGTCTTTGCCCCTTAGCGTGATTTGTGGGTAGCTCCTGGTCACTGAGGCTTGTGAATGGCTTCTGCAGGCACTGTGTATTGGCTGAAAGTATGCAGTCCAGATTGGAGGCTGGTGATGAGTGCGAGACCGGCCTTGGCAGCACTGGGTGCTGTATCAGTCGCTCTGCTGCCAGTTTGAACCAGTGTGGGGACCCCCTCCTTATGGAGCTGAAAAGTGCCTGATTGTTTTCAGTTTTTCTGATGGATACCTGTAAGCAAAAGTTCTTTTGGCTCCTTTTAGTAGTTTTCTAGACTAGTTTAACTGTGAATAAACTGTGCCATTTCTTATTTTTCTCAAATTCTTCTGGTCTCAAAGTCTTACAAGAATACTTGTTAAAGTTTCTCTCTCTTTTCCTTTTTGTTTGTTTTCAAGACAGGGTTTCTCTGTGTAGCCTTGGCTGTCATGGAACTTGCTCTATAGACCAGGCTGGCCTCGAACTACAGAGATCTTCTGCCTCTGCCTCCCGAGTGCTGGGATTAAAGGCGTGTTTTCACCACCGCCAGCTTTTCTTTAATTTTTGAAGTAGTGGCTCACTATGTAGTCCAGGCTGGCCTTGAATTTGGAATCCCTCTGCCTCAACCCGAGGGCTGGAATTGGGTTTGTATGCCACCACATCAGGGTCTCCCCCATCCCTTTCCTCTATGGAAAAGGCATCCAGGCATGGTTTGGATCTGTTGCAGGAGTAAGGTGTAGATGTGAGTTAGAATAACGTTTCTTTGGACAAGGTCTCTTTTAACCCTTGGAGGTTCACCTGTCTCTGCCTATTGAGTGCTGGGATCAAAGGTGTGTATCATCACATGTGGCCAGAAGTTCTCTCTGAACTGGGACAGCTTACCTGTGCTCTCACATGGAAGTCCAGACTGGTCTCAAAGTGCCTTTTTTTTTTTTTTTGGTTTTTCGAGACAGGGTTTCTCTGTGTAGCTTTGTGCCTTTCCTGGAACTCACTCTGTAGACCAGGCTGGCCTCGAACTCACAGAGATCCGCTGCCTCTGCCTCCCAAGTGCTGGGCGTGCTACCACTGCCCAGATTTTTTTTTAAGATTTATTTATTATGTGTACAATGTTCTTTCTGCCTGCATGTATGTGTGCAGGCCAGAAGAGGGCACCAGATCTCATTACAAATGGTTGTGAGCCATCATGTGGTTGCTGGGAATTGAACTCAGGACTTCTGGAAGAACAGCTAGTGCTCTTAACTGTTGAGCCATCTCTCCAGCCCCGGGGAGTGGTTCTTATCCTGAAGAAATAAATGTAGATTTCTCTTTCTCTTGCTTATGCTGCTTTTTTTTTTGGAGACATAGTTTCTCTGTGTAGCCCTGGCTGCCCTGAAACTCACTCTGAAGATCAGACTGGCCTCCAACTACAGAGATCCCCCTGCCTCAGCCTTCCTAGGGCTGGGATTATAGGCGTGCACCGCTACTGCTGGCTGACACACTGCTGCTACATTTTTTACTGTAAGTGATACAATTCCTTGCTTAGAGGCAGGATCTGCTACATAATATCCAGTTCTTGATTACTTGAGCCATTCTGAAAGATGAGTAATCTCATCATTAAGTATACTTAATATGTATGGCCCATGAACTTGTGACTTCTGCCCCTACTCAGGGTCTCTCTAGGTAGCTCTGGCTGTCCTGGGACTCACCCTATAGACCAGGCTGGCCTCAAACTCAGAGATTCACCTGCCTCTGCCTCCCAAGTGCTGGGATTAAGGGTGTGGGCCAACTCTGCCCAGCTTATTTTTTTCTTTCTGAAACAGGGTCATGTGTTGTAGTCCAGGTTAGCCTAGATTCAGGCCCCTGGTTTAAACTTTACAGTGGTTGGGCTGCCTGATTGAGTGCTTTTTTATTTTTTTATTTTATTTTTTTTAAAAAAACAAAATCTCAGTCGTTTGATTTTACCAATAAAGACTCAGGAGCTAGATGCTGGAGTGAGAGCCTGCTAGCTCAAAGAGGCAGAGAAAGCACCCAGCTGACCTTCCTCCTCAGCCTCTCTCTTCCCCTATGCCTTCTCAGATCAAACTCTTCAAACTGAGTGTCCTCCCCTTCTACTTCCTGTGTGTCTGTCTGTCCTGACTCAATCTTACTCTCTATGCTCTTGTTTTAATAATCCTATGTTCACTTCCTGTCAACTGCTCTGCCTCTTGACCTGTGGTTGACTTTATTTAATCCTGTTTACAATATTCAAGCAGAAAGCTCTAGGATTAAAGGTGTGTGCTAGGGCTGAGCCACACCACAACCAGAAACAGGTTTTTCCGGTAAATAATGCAATCTTGGGGTTTGCAGTGTGATCAAATTATCCTGCAACATTTCCCCCTTCTGCCTAAATGAAAAGGAAAGGGTTTTTGTTTGTTTGTTTGTTTGTTTTTCTTAAGACAGGGTTTCTCTGTTTAGTCTTTGCTGTCCTGGAACTCACTCTGTAGACCAGGCTGGCCTCGAACTCAGAAATCCGCCTGCCTCTGCCTCCTGAGAATGCTGGGATTAAAGGCATGCGACACCACCGCCCGACCTTTGTTTTGTTTCTGGATTTTTTTTTTTTTGGTAAAAGAAAAGGTTTTAAATCTAACACAGTAAAACTATTTACAGTAATGAAGCTGTTCCTGCCAAGCTTTCTGCAGTGTCCAACTTGGTTGTATTTGGCAGTCTTAGGATTTTTAGCTTCTAGGATCTCTGTGAGTTCGAGGCCAGCCTGGGCTACAGAGTGAGTTCCAGGAAAGGTGCAAAGCTACCCAGAGAAACCCTGTCTCCAAAAACCAAAAAAAAAAAAAAAAAAAAAAAAAAAAGAAAAGAAAAGAAAAAGATTTTTAGCTTCAGAGTGCTGTAAATTGTTCATGTCAGTCTCATGAACTCAGCAGTTTGAATGTCCTGAGCAGTTTGTAGTCAGAAACTGATCTTTGGGTGGTGTTTGTCAGTTTAGTGGCAATTCTGACTAGGTAGAACACAGCAGCCAACCCAAAGGTATCCATTATTTGCATGGTGCCAGAAGAGGCATGGAGCAGTTCTGCCCAGTCGTTAGCGTTACCACAATCAAGGTGGATTCGTCTTTGCAGGGCCTCATCATCCTGGAGACCTCAAAGGTTACTATTAGGAATGGTCACAGTTTATTGTAGAAAGCTTAAACATTTTCTTTTTTTTTTTTTTTTTTGTTTTTGTTTTTCGAGACAGGGTTTCCCTGTGTAGCTTTGCGCCTTTCCTGGAACTCACTTGGTAGCCCAGGCTGGCCTCGAACTCACAGAGATCCGCCTGGCTCTGCCTCCTGAGTGCTGGGATTAAAGGCGTGCGCCACCACCGCCCGGCAGCTTAAACATTTTCAATGTCATATTCAGCAGCTCTCTGAAAGGTTTGAGGACTACAATCTATTAAGTATATCTAAGGTATACAAACTTAGTTCCTAGTTACCTGCTTCAGACTCAAACCCAAAAACATGTACAGGAAGCTAGAGGAAACTTATTTCTAGAATTAGTTAGTACTCTGTATGATTACTGGTATCACAATGGAAAGTTTATATATACATCATAATCTTGCAGATTTTGAGATATTTATACCTTAAGATGTTTTGGAGA